GTCTTGCTCTGTTGCTAGGCTGGAGTGCAGTGGCGCAATCTCGGCTCACTACAAGTCTGCCTCCTGGGTTCAAGTGATTCTCCTGCCTCAGCCTCCCAAGTAGCTGGGACTACAGGTGCACGCCACCACACCTAGCTAATTTTTGTATTTTTAGTAGAGATGGGATTTCACCATGTTGGCCAGGATGGTCTCGATCTCTTGACTTTGTGATCTGCCCACCTTGTCCTTCCAAAGTGTTGGGATTACAGGCGTGAGCCACCACGCCCAGCCTAATATTCACATTGCTTATATGTCTGATGGCCTTTAAAATTAAGTGCAAAATAGGGTCTGCAGCATGACTTCCACATGTTCTTGGCAGAATCTTGGAATTACTCCTCTCCCCGCCTTTCATATAACCATTCTCCATCAAGTCCTCTGGGAGTTTCCTTCTGTCCACATCGATTGCCTGACCTGCCTATATGTCCTCCCTTTGTGCCTTAGCTCTCCTGCCCTGGTTTGCTCTACCTGTGGTGCTGTTAATGCTCTCCTTCATTTCGAAATCTGACCTATCCTTTCACAGTCAAATGCTGCTTTTGTGTGAAGGCATCCCAAGGAGTCACTGCAGCCAGAGTCTCTCTCTCTCTCTTTGGAAATTTAATTTCATTCTTTCCAACACCTTTTATTATTATTTAAAAAATATCTCACACTTTCCACATTGTGTTTTATTATCTGTGCGTGTTTTCTGTCCTTCCATATTTTGAAATCCTTGAGGGTGGGGCCGGTGTCTTGTGTATTGTTTCGTCCCACTCAGGACTCAGCACACTGCTTGTGTGTAGCAGGCATTCAACACATACTTGGATGATTGTAAGAGAGATTCTAGGTGATTGATAACGTTTGCCACAAACTACTGGGAAAATTAAACTCTTTAAGCTCTTCCTGGCTAAATAAATATGTAATTAACTTTTGGCATGACAATTTGAGGAAGACACTGAAGTTATTAAAGGTTACTGCTACATGTACTCGCAGGGGCAGTGGAGACCTTGTTTTAGTGTTGGCTGCCGCAGTGTCACCATTTGATTTCCAGGGCATTACGGTGGCTTTCTCCAATGTCCAGTGTCAATGGGGAGTGGTAGCTTGATCAGATGTTCCTCTAATATGGTTCCGGTTTTGCTTGTTTCGTGAACCTGGCTTCCCAAATGTCCTGCAACTCTGTGACCCATTTAATGAGCCACTCACGATCCCCTAATGATTCCTTTTCTGCCTACATCAGCCAGAGCTTGTTCAGTTGCTTTCAACCAAGAACCCTGACAGGTTGAATTAATTTAAACTTTGAACATCAAATGATGCTCTCTAGTAGGTGTTAATGATTGTTGCTAACGATAAACATCTTTCTTATATGCAACCATAACATAGGGAAGGTCCTTTTACTTTGAGGAAAAGAACTAGTGCTTTTGGAATTTTATGTCTATTTCTGTGAATGCTGGGTGGATACATTCTGAAATTTTGCTATGTCAATAACATTTTAATGAAATATATTTTTGCTTTTGTACATTTGTGCCACTAGGTAGTTAGAGCAAGAAGATGGTGTTTCCGTCCTTCAAACGGTCCCTTGCAACCATGTCATTTCTACTTTCCTCACTGTTGGCTCTCTTAACTGTGTCCACTCCTTCATGGTGTCAGATCAGTGAAGCATCTCCAAAAGGTAGTAATGGGATGCCATTTCCTTGGAATAAAATACGACTTCCTGAGTATGTCATCCCAGTTCATTATGATCTCCTGATCCATGCAAACCTTACCACGCTGACCTTCTGGGGAACCACGGAAGTAGAAATAACAGCCAGTCAGCCCACCAGCACCATCATCCTGCATAGTCACCACCTGCAGATATCTAGGGCCACCCTCAGGAAAGGAGCTGGAGAGAGGCTATCGGAAGAACCGCTTCAGATCCTGGAACACCCTCCTCAGGAGCAAATCGCGCTGCTGGCTCCTGAGCCCCTCCTTGTCGGGCTGCTGTACACAGTTGTCATTCACTATGCTGGCAATCTTTCAGAGACTTTCCACGGATTTTACAAAAGCACTTACAGAACCAAGGAAGGGGAACTGAGGTATTTTTTTTTTCTCTTTTTCTTTTAAACTGCAAGTGCTGCCCATGCTAAATTCATTATTTCAGATTGATTGTCTTTTAAAATTACCTTTGTTGTTGAACTTTTTCTTCAGTTTTGCTTTTGCATCTTCTTTATAGTGTTAAAAATGGCTTTTTCCCTTGCTTTTTGAATCTCATTTTAAAATTCTATTTTAACCAATTTTCTTTCCCCCAGCTCTATCAGAGCAAATATCTATTTGTTTATTTAGTCTGATTTCTGAGACATAATAAACATGTTTAATTTTCCTGACCTATGCATTAGTTTCCTAGGGCTGTTGTAACAAAGTACCACAGTCTGGGTGGCTGTAAACAACAAAATGTATTCTCTCTCAGGTCTGCAGGCTAGAAGTCTGAAATCAAGGTGTCAGCAGGCCCGTGCTCCCTCCAGACTCTGGTAGAATCCTTCCTTGTGTCTTCCTAGCATCTAGTGGTGGCCGTGGATCCCTGGCACTCCATGCCTAGTACCTGCATCGTTCTAGTCTCTCCCTCTGTTAGTGGCATGGCCATTCCGTTTCCCTATGTCCCAGTCTCCATCGTCTTATAAGGAAACCGGTCATACCGGAGTAGGACCCAGCCTGGTGGCCTCTTCTTCACCCCATGATACCTGTAAAGACCCTATGTCTAAATAAGGTCTTATGCACAGATACTGCAGGTTAGGACTTCAGCATATCCTATTAGCATCCTATTAGAGGAAATACTTCTAGCTCAGTTAAAACTTTTTTAGAGCTCTCTACTCACCTTGCTTTGGTTCTGTTTTTAAGGAGGAGACTTATTTGAGAGAGATTTTATGCTAAGTTTTAAAATGGAATTTTATTTGTTAGTAGATTATACTAATTTATTTTTCAAATTCCATCTTATTCTATCAAGGTAAAAAAGTAAAATTTGTTTCACTCATAGCCTGAACTAACTACTACTTCTATTTCAGTGGAATATTCTCCCAGACTTCTTTCTGGATATGCATATATGTTATTTTATATAAATGGAATTCTTATATTTTCTCTTTTATAAGGAAATTTTTAAACTTAGTATGTTGGGAAGATGTTTTATATAAATGACTATTACTAGGTATCATTTTAATGATTTTATTAAAATACATAGTTGTACGTTAATATCTTTAATCCCTTGGGAATGGAAATGAAATTATTTCCAGTTTTTCAGTATCAACAACACTTCGATGAACATCTTTGTAAGTTATTTCTTTAGAATAATTGCCTAGAAGTAAAATTGGTGAGCCAAAGAACCTATAAATTTTTTATAAACCTTGTCATTTTTTCTTGCCTCTCACCAATACTGTATATTGGCAGTCTTTTTAGAGCAAAAAAGGCCCCCAAATGATATCTTTTTTTAATTTACATAACTTTGATTAAGGAAGTTGAGCAGCTTTTGATATGTTTGTTAATGATTTGCAGGTTCTTTTATGAATTGCCTGTTTATGATCTTTGACTTTGCCCAAGATTCCCTTGGTTGTTGGCGATTCCTTTTTATTTCATTTCCTTGGTTGTTGGGGATTCTTTTTTAGTTTATTTTATTTTACTTTATTTTATTTTTTGAGGTGGAGTCTTGCTCTGTCACCCAGGCTGGAGTGCAATGGCGTGAACTTGGCTCACTGCAACCTCCGCCTCCCGGGTTCAAGCGATTCTCCTGCCTCAGCCTCCTGAGTAGCTGGGATTACAGATGCGCACTACCATGCCTGGCTAATTTTTGTATTTTTAATAGAGATGGGAGTTCACTATGTTGGCCAGGGTGGTCTCGAACTCCTGTCCTCGTGATCCGCCCACCTTGGCCTCTCAAAGTGCCGAGATTACAGGTATGAGCCACCATTGGGTATTCTTTTACACACTTTTAGGATCTCACTATCTGTTAAGGCTATTAAGTCTTCGTCACATACTTCTTAAATGAATTTTCCCAGTTTTTTACTTTTTTAAAAAACTTTTTTTTGGAGACAGGGTCTGGTTCTGTTGCCCAGGCTGGAGTGCAACGACGCAATCTCAGGTCACTGAAACTTCTGCCTCATGGGCTCTAACCATCCTCTCACCTCTGCCTCCCAAGTAGCTGGGACTACAGGCTGCACCACCATGCCTGGCTAATTTTTATAGTTTTGGTAGAGATGGGGTTTTACTGTGTTGCCCAGGTTGGTCTCACACTCCTGGGCTCAAGCAATCCTCCCACCTCAGCCTCCCAAAAATGTGTTAGGACTACAGGCGTGAGCCACTATGACCATGCCCAGTCTAACTTGTCTTTTAACTTAGTTTATGATAGCTTTTGTGATGTAAAATATTTTTTAGTAGTAAAATCCATCAATCTTATAGTAACTTTAGGAATTATAAAGCCAACACCTGTTTTAGAGTTCCTGGTGCTTCATGCTCAATTTTTATTTCACTTGCCTTAATTTTAGGATACTTGCATCAACACAATTTGAACCCACTGCAGCTAGAATGGCCTTTCCCTGCTTTGATGAACCTGCCTTCAAAGCAAGTTTCTCAATCAAAATTAGAAGAGAGCCAAGGCACCTAGCCATCTCCAATATGCCACTGGTGAGTCTGCACTCCTGTGTATTTTCTACCGGAAAATCTACTGATTCTCTGTGACTTGCATTACCCCAGTGACAGTCCACATTGGGTCACCTGTTTTGTTTTATTGCCTGGCAGATCGTTACTAACTTTTCATTTACAACCTGTGCTTTTGTTTCAAGCCACAGTTATATGTAATCAAAGTAAAAATTGCCCCTAAAAATGCAAGATTTCAGTAACAGTGCCATTCCAGGTTATACATGCTGATAGGAGGGAAGTGGTATAAGAAATTCAGGTCAGGTTTAAATAGTAGTGCCCTTCAAAAAGCACTTTCACCCTCATTTGCTCATATGATCTTTTAAAATGATTTTAAAGGTAATGCTTTGTCAGTTGGGCCATATTTTTAGCATATAGTTATTTTCTATAATGTACATATACTATATAGTAATATTCACTATATAATTTGTAACTGAGTGTACAAAATTGGGCGGACAGAAAAAGAGAATAAAACAAATCTTTTCCGAATGTTATGGTGCTGAAGGTAAGTCATGATAGATAGCTTAGCTTCCCAAGAGAAACCATTGTTCTCCAATCTTAATGCAGATGTGGACAGCATTCCCTCTGATTTTTAAAAGTGGCTAGAAGATAACCATGCCAAATGAATAAAACTGTTCAGTAAGTGCCATTATCCTTTGATTCTGGTAGTTTAGAAAAGCATCAGCTGGGCCGTCATTCTGCAGCTGGTATATAACACCTCCTGGAAGCACATCCTTTGTTCAGAGAAACTCACTGGGGATGAGACTCAGGGTAGAGTAGACTTTGCCTAGAGTTGAGGGATGAACAACTTTGTCCCTGTGCTGACTGGGGAAGCAGTATCGTAGCATGGAGAGATACCAAGAGCCACAGACCGACCTCTAGTATGGTGCTTCTCAACCTTAAAACTCTATACCTACCTGCCTTCATACCATAAGGATGCCTTCCTCAAACAAGATTCGGATCTCCCACCCCCCGCCAGAGGGCTATCCTCTGTGCAAACCACTCTTCTGCAAATTTTCCTACCAGCCAAGAACTTTTGTCCCCACTCCCACTCTTGTATATGAAAAGACAAGAAACAATTATGCTATTTTCCTAATATAAATTTAAGATACAGGATGTGCTTTTTCAGAATATAGTCCTCTCCCCCAGTATTGTGGCATGACTCCCTGGGACAGAAGTGAGTTCTTTAATTGGTGAACCAAAATTCTAGGAGAATAAAGGATCAGGGATGGGAAGGAGACAGGAGAGAGACTGAAGGACCAAACAGGATTAGTGGAGAAATTTGTAGGCTTTCAGAAGAAAGATCTGGAGCTTTGGAAGCTCCAGGAAGATGCTACAGTCTAAATCCATGGATATCCAGGATCCACTTATTGAAGATAGGAAAACTTCTTTTTTTTTGAGGATAGGAAAACCTCTAATGCAATGTTGTCCCTTTGGACAGAAACGTCTCTCACTAACAGAAATCTAATATGAGTAGCCTGACCTCAGGCTGCAGATATTGAGCTCAGGGGAAAACAATGGGGTCTCAAAAGATCTTTTTGGAGACCAGAAAAACAAAATATATACCATTGGGACATTGCAGCTTTTGGGCATGGGGCAGAAATTAATCACGTTTAAATTTAAATTAATTTAATCAGGTTATTTTCCTACTAATTAACACAACTCGAGAATGGAAATTTTTGGCCAGGTGTGGTGGCTCATGACTGTAATCCAGCACTTTGGGAGGCTAAGGCAGGTGGATCACCTGAGGTCAGCCTGGCCAGCATGGTAAAACCCTGTCTCTACTAAAAATACAAAATTAGTTGGGCTTGGTGGCACATGTCTGTAATCTTAGCTACTCAGGAAGCTGAGGCAGGAGAGTTGCTTGAACTCGGGAGGTGGAGGTTGCAGTGAACCGAGATAACACCATTGCACTCCAGCCTGGGTGATAGAGTGAGACCCCATCTCAAAAAATAAAAATAAAAAAAAAAGGAAATTTTTGTTGTGGGTAGGCACAAGCAGAATGCATTTAAAAAGAAAAGATGATTTGGGATCCTTTATGAGTAATCCTAGGCTGGCTAACAGAGTTGGTTTGAATGATCAAATGGTGACCAGAAGTTGGTGGCTGATGGGTGTTAAGAAGGATGAGGGCCAGGTGAGGTGGCTTATGGTTGTAAAGGATTACAACCATACATTACAACACTTTGGGAGGCAGAAGAAGAGGATTTCTTGAGGTCAGGAGTCCAAGACCAGCTGGGGCAACATAGCAAGACCCTATCTCTCAAAACAAACAAACAAAAAAGATGAGGGCAGAGCAATAGAGGTGAGTATAGGATTACAGGAAAAATGCCTGTGACTGTGGTTTCACCTGGCTAATTCTGGCTGGTTCTTTTTCCAAGGTCTCATCTCCGTGCTTTTTATTGCTGAGGTGTTAGACTTTCTTCTTTAGGGGCAAACCTCTAAGACTGTACCTCCATCAACCATACCCCACCTTTACTCTCTGATTGCACTTAAAAAGGTGATTCCAATGAAGCAAATCTAAGTTTGGAAGAAGCTTTGCAAGAGCATGCCCAGGAATAGGTTACTTTCAATTATACAGAAGAACAGAAGCTCTTTTAGGTACTACAGGGTTATATATTTTCCCCGTTGCGTATATGCTCAACAGCTCGACATTGCATTGCCAGATAATTCTCAAACCTGTATTTAAGGACAAATAGATCAGCCATATCTTCGCAAAACTCACAATCTCGGTTTTGCTTCGTCTCATCTGGGTTATCAATCCACATATGCCAAATATTAGTCTGTTTGCAACCATCTGAATTATTAAAAGAAACTGAATATTGATAGTTGCACAACTTTATGATTACATTAAGAGCCACTGAATTGTAAACTTCAAAATGGTAAGTTTTGTGGTATATGAATTATATCTCAATAAAAAAGAAATTGAGTAGAACTGTTGGACCTTAATATCTAAATTATAATTAGATATCAGAAAGACAACTTTTAAAGTAATTATAGAAGCGTCATTAGACAGGGTCTGCCTCTGTCACCCAGGCAGGAGTACAGTGGCTCAATCTTGGCTCACTGCAACCTCCACATCCCAGGCTTAAGGCATCCTCCCAGCTCAGCCTCCCCAGTAGCTGTGACTACAGGCACGCACCACCAGCAGGGCTAATTTTTGTATTTTTTTTTTGTAGAGATAAGGTTTCATCATGTTGCTCAGGCTGGTGGCAAACTCCTGAGCTCAAGCAATCTGCCTACCTCGGACTCCCCAAGTGCTGGGATTGATATACTTTTAATATTATGTCTGATAATTAGGAAATTTCTCAAGTTCAGTGTATTACATAATTGGATTACTTGATAATTTGAATTATTCTGATTTTAGGTGAAATCTGTGACTGTTGCTGAAGGACTCATAGAAGACCATTTTGATGTCACTGTGAAGATGAGCACCTATCTGGTGGCCTTCATTATTTCAGATTTTGAGTCTGTCAGCAAGATAACCAAGAGTGGAGTCAAGGTGAGTCTGTGATTGTCACATATGGTGACCAACTTGTTCTGGTTTGCCTGGAACTGGTTTTTTGTTTTTTGTTTTTTTTTTGAGACAGAGTCTCACTCTGTGGCCCAGGCTGGAGTGCAGTGGCTGGATCTCAGCTCACTGCAAGCTCTGCCTCCTGGGTTTACGCCATTCTCCTGCCTCAGCCTCCCGAGTAGCTGGGAATACAGGCGCCCGCCACCACGCCCAGCTAGTTTTTTGTTTTTTAGTAGAGACGGGGTTTCACCATGTTAGCCAGGATGGTCTTGATCTCCTGACCTCGTGATCCGCCCGTCTCGGCCTCCCAAAGTGCTGGGATTACAGGCTTGAGCCACCGCGCCCGGCCTGGAACTGGTTTTAAAACTGGAAGTCTGGCTGAGCACAGTGGTTTGTGCCTGTAAACCCAACATAAACCCAACAATTTGGGAGGCTGACATGGAAGAATCACTTGAGGCCAGAGGTTTGAGACCAGCCCGGACAACACAGTGAGAACCTGTCTCTGTAAAAAATAGAATAATTGGCCAGGTATGGTTCCTTGTGCCTGCTACTAGTCTTAGCTACTAGGGAGGCTGAGGTGGGAGGATCCCTTGAGCCCAGGAGTTTGAGGCTTCAATGAGGTATGATTGTGCACTCCAGCCTGGGCAACAGAGCAAAACCATGTCTCTAAACAAACAAACAAAGACAAAACCAAATAACAAAATCCTGGAAGTCCTGCATCCTGGGAACCGCCTCAATCTCAGGCAAACCGGGATGTTTGGCTAGCCTGTTGTCATGGATGCTCGTTTGTATAGTGAGGTTCTAATAACAACAACATGGAGAGAGTGTGGCCTGGCCTGAGTCATGATCCTGGCTTTACCGCAGTCACTTCACTGACTCTCTGACCTTGGCCCTATTCTCTCTGGAACTTAGTATTTACTTCTTTGGAAGGTATAACTTGGATTAGATCCTGCAATGGCCTATAAGGTTGTTTCTGGTTATGGCTTTCTGCAGTTTGGAAGTAAATGTTACTATCTGGCAGGGGATTTCTGGCTATAGTAAGGAAGATAGAGCAACCTGCTTGGAATGGCCAGAGGTTTTGGGCCAGGTAACACTGGAATGCTGGAGAGAAAAATCTTGTTTCAAGGCACACTTGTTCCTCATTTGGGTACCATTGCATAGTGGTCAACCAATACAACTATGTGCCATAGGTCGGAATGCAAGCTGGTTTTTCTGAGGGGAGGAAGGGATGCTTTGTTTGAAGATACCTTATGTATTTGTGCTGGTTTTTACTGAGGTCTGAGTAGATGGGGATTCCCTGCTGAATTGCTTTGGGTTCCTCTAGTGCTGAGATTTCTTATTCTTGTGGAGGTATCTTTACTTACCTGGGGATTTGAAGGTGACGCTTGAGACTCGGACGAAGGGAACATTCTTAATTCAGCAGTGAAACTAATCAGCAAAAACACCTGCCCCTTGTTTTGCCACTTATCTGAATCTCTTAGAAATGATTATTTTAATAATGTCTAATCTATACTAATATTTTTCTTTCATTTCTGTAAACACATTAAGCATACATATTATATATCTGTGTCTGGTAATTGTTTTATCTGAAATCTTTGTGTATTTGATTTTGTGGTTTGTTTTTTCTGCTGGCTCTTGCTTATGGTATCTTGTTTCCTTGCTTGTATTATGAATTATGTTTGTGAGCTTATGTTACCTGAGTCTAAAGTGGATTATTCCAGAGAGAAATTGTGTTTGCTCTTGCAGAGTGTCTGGAAGTACTTACTGGTCCAGGGATCACTTTACTTGTAGTTTCCTTGACAAAGGGTAGTTATTTCTAGTTTACCTTTACATTAAAGGCCTGGCCTTTGGGTACTAGCTTTACGTAGGGGTTGTATGTCCTGTTAGACTTTCTACTTTGGGCAGGCCCTGGACTTGGTCTTTTAACTCCTGAGTCCTTCAATGCCATAAGAACCAAAGCTCAAGTCCAGCTGTGTTGGGCTACTGCCATCAGGGCTAAAGCTGTCTGCAGTGCTCTCCTGACATTAGAGGGTCCAGCTGTCATTTTACTTTTGCCTCTAAATCTTGCTTTCTCATTTGCCATCTTATAAACACATTTAAGAAGACTTTATATGTGTTATCCAGCATTTGTTGTTGTTTTCAGAAGGGGGATTAATCAGGAACAGTCAGTATTAATGCAAGAAATGGAATTCTCAATTATTTTCCTTAATATTGGCAACCATATCCCACAATATGACAATATAATGTCAGTCTTCTACACAATGTGGAGAGAAGCCACTTAAGATATTTGAATTCCTTTCTTGTGCCTTCCACTTTAGGTTTCTGTATATGCTGTGCCAGACAAGATAAATCAAGCAGATTATGCACTGGATGCTGCGGTGACTCTTCTAGATTTTTATGAGGATTATTTCAACATACCGTATCCCCTACCCAAACAAGGTAGAGATTTTGTACAGATACTACACATGACGTCATGACGTTTGATGAACACAGTCATAGATTTGTCATTTTAATTGGCGTATCCCTGTGGTTACCTCAGCAGCCCCTCAAGCCACAAAAACCCCAGCAAGTGACAAACCTGCAGTTGATCTTTCTGAGCATCTTCTCACCCTTGATGTGTACAGTAACTTCTAGTGATACTGAAGAAGGCAGATCTTCATAGAGTTCCTGAGGCACATGGCATGGGGACTCTTTTGCCTTCTGATTTTATTAGTGGGCAGACAGCACAGGGAAGAGGCTACATTTTTCCTTACTGGCATCTGCTTGGCAGGAACACAGAGGATGCTCAACAAACTGTTTTGAATGAATAAATGTATATAGTGTAAGACAATCTGCATTTACTTTCTTCCATGAGCCCTTAAAACTATTGTATGTTTGATTTTTTAGGTATATGTGGGTCTTGGGCGTTCAAAATAGAGTGGATTATTTTAATTGTTAAGTTTTTCAATTTCCAATCTCCTCATCAGAAGGTTAGAAATGGAGTCAAGAGGCCTGAAGAGGCCGGGCACGGTGGCTCATGTCTTGTAATCTCAGCACTTTGGCTCATGTCTTGTAATGTCAGCACCTGGGGAGGCCTGGCAGGTGGATTACTTGAGCCCAGGAGTTTGAGACCAGCCTGGGCAACATGGTAAAACCCTGTTTCCACAAGAAATATAAAAATATTAGCTGAGTGTGGAGGTGCACTCCTGTAGTCTCAGCTACTTGGGAGGCTGAGTGGGAGGATCACCTGAGCTTGGGAGGTTGAGGCTCCAGTGAGGTGTAATTATGTCACCGCAAATGCACTCCAGTATGCGTGATAGAGTGACAGCCCGACACCAAAAAAAAAAAAAAAAAAAAAAAAAAAAGGCCTGGGATGCAAGTCTGACTTTGCCACATTTATAGCAAAGTGACGCTGAGTCACTAAGCTGCTTTTTCTCCATCGTGAAAGATTCTTCAGTCTAGAGCTCCATGATTATGCATGGTTAACTGGTTCAAATACCTATCCGTTCTGAAGATTAGTGTGTTTGGGGGAATGTGTAGCTTTGAGACTGGTAATGTATTCTATTACTTCCTTCCCAAGATCTTGCTGCTATTCCTGACTTTCAATCTGGTGCTATGGAAAACTGGGGACTAACAACATACAGAGAATCTGCTCTATTGTTTGATGCGGAAAAGTCTTCTGCATCAAGTAAGCTTGGCATCACAATGATTGTGGCCCATGAACTGGCCCACCAGGTATAAGCTCGCTCACACTTTTAAAAAAGTATGAACTACGATTATATTGCTTTTATGGGACATATAAGGCTATTTATATATTATAATTTTTACTCTGTCTTTTTTTTCATAAGAAAAACTGTTTCTCCAAAGCATTAGTTTTTATGTCTTATAATACATGTTGAAAGTTTTTTTATTTTTACCTTGATTAAATATTGGTCCTGTAAATATACGTTAACATTCATAAACTTATATTAGACATCTAAAATATACTTCTTTCTGAATGTCTTTGTTTATGGCTGCCAGTCTAGATAATAGGTATCCAGTCTCCATGGAAATGTGTGAATAAACTGAGACATGTTGTGTTTTTAGTGGTTTGGGAACCTGGTCACTATGGAATGGTGGAATGATCTTTGGCTAAATGAGGGATTTGCCAAATTTATGGAATTTGTGTCTGTCAGTGTGACCCATCCTGAACTGAAAGTTGTAAGTAATTATTTATCCTTTACATTTTAGGTTAATTTTGTTGTTTTGTTCAATATTGCTGGAAAATATTTACTAATCTTTGATTATAGAACTTACAAAAAGATTTCATTGATAACTTCCTTGACAGTTTAGATATGAATCGTGTTGCAGAAATGCTAGTGAACTTTCAAGATATATCACAAAGACTTATTTACAAACTCAGTTGTGAATCTATGATTGTTTGTGAATTGTCCAATTTTATCTTTCTTAATATCAAAGAAATAGAAATAATGGCAACCTAAATGTTCCATTTCATTTTCCCAACCTTCAGGTTGCTCATTGCAGAATTATTAGGTATAGATTGCTGATACCTCAATAGGACCCTACTTGCCAGATCAAATGAGTTATACTTAAGGTAACTGCAAATTTGATTATATAACAACCTAGGCTTCTGGGTCACAAATTTATTGCTTTGGAACTGCTGTAGGGTTTAATTTTTAAATCACCATGTTTAACTTAAGAAAATCACATATAGCAAAATTAAACTTACGTAAAATATTTTTATCCTACTCCAATGATGCTATTATTTGTAAATATTTATTCCTATTTTCATCTGCCACATACATTATTTAAAATATACATTTGTGAATATTTATTACTGCCTATTTTGATCTGCCTGTGTACATAATTAGAAAGTATATATCAATATTACATTATAATGGATCATAAATATTTTCTTATGTTTCTACATTATCTATAGTAATAAAAATGATTATGGATACGTATTATCCTATTGAGCTAATGTGCTCTAATAAAGCTGGTTAAGGTTCTCCATTTCTTTTTGTTACATGTTTTTAAAGGTAAATATCTTTGCTCTAAAACAGTACAGACAATGATTGGAAATGTTGAAATTACTATGCAGTTTAGTTTCTTGTTTTGTTGCTGTTTGGCTATAGGCATAATCGTTTCGTTTTTAGATTATGATTAGATTAGATTAGAAAAATATGAATTTTTCTTTATTCTAAAGTATTTAAGATGAACAAAATCTATAATGTTTACCTAAAATCATTGTTTCTTGGGTGGTTTTTAGACTATATTAATTCTATTTTGTTTCATAAATATTAGGAAATATGGAATAAGTTGCCCCCAAAATGTGAAGTATGGACTTCTTGCCTCAGATAAAACGTCCCACCTTTGACATTTTTTATCTAAATGTAAATCATAGGTGATGTTTTCTTTTTTCTGTCTCAATAGGAAGATTATTTCTTTGGCAAATGTTTTGATGCAATGGAGGTAGATGCTTTAAATTCCTCACACCCTGTGTCTACACCTGTGGAGAATCCTGCTCAGATCCGGGAGATGTTTGATGATGTTTCTTATGATAAGGTACATGTAGATTGTGTAAAAGGATACAGTTTGGATACTAAAGTTATACATACTGGGGTGGAGAAGTTATAGGGAAGGTTGTGGGGTTAAACCCACATTGAATGCCTTCTCTCTTGACACGACTGGCTGGAGTTAACTCTTTTAGGCCTAACTTGCAGTTTGGCTCATAACCCTAAAGACTATTTTATGGGAAATTCTTCATATATTCTTTCTTGGGTTGAAAATTCATGGCTTACAGAAACTCTGCTTTTATTTATCATTCAACAAATAGGTATTGATTGAGCATCAACTTTGTACTAGACAAAAATTCCTGCCCTCCTGTAGCTTACTTTTCAAGGCCTTCAGCAATGGTTAATATTGTTGAGATGCAAATAATTGTCTTGCACAGTGTGTTTAGTAATAGAGTTGGGAATTGTTGCCAACAGTTTAATGATTGGGAGATTTTATGTAAAATCCAGATTTCTAGCTTCTCTTGGGGAAGAAAAAGGAGGATTTGTCCATGGTATTTCCTTTGCAGCATAAGCTGGAGCTAAGTTGTTGTTCTCTCTTTGTAAGATCAAGGCTCTGCTTTTCCACTTCCCCTACCATTCCCAACTGTTCTGTTGTCTTCTCACCGAGGCTGAGAATGTGTTGCCAGTTACCATTGTGCTTGGCTGTTGTTTTACTGGTAGCAAACAGAAAAGTCTTTCTGCTTGCATGTTTCCATTGAAAGTACAGGGGAAAAAGAATGTAAAAGAGCGTTCTTCTTATCCTTGGACTATTTCCTTTATTTATATGCCCTGTCATATGCCACTGGAGGCATTTGAGTTTGTGACTCGCCATCCGTGGTAATGGGAGTGGAGGGGAAAAGAGCCCTTTACCCAGGAATACAGGGTGTCTGGGAAGACTCTTGTTCCCTTTCTCCAGCTCCATCAGCCTTCCATGCTCAAGGCTGCCCGAGCTCCCTGGACATACCCACTTTTCCTTCCCTGGCGTCTACCTCTGCTTCCATCTCTAATGCTCCACCCCTTGTTGTACCGGCCTCTTCCTAGTCCTGCCCTGGAGTGGCAGTGGGAGAGCCAGGTAGTAGCTGAAGGTCCAATGTTTAATCTGTACCATTATCCACTCACATGTGAACAAAAGGAGTTGGCAGATGATGCCAATTTGCCCCATGAGGAGGTCTGGCTACTGATAGAAAATAAGGGCCCCAGTGGGCTCACAGCATAAACAATCACATTAGACAAATCCCCTGCCTAAACAGGTCCAGGTTTAACCTGCTTATGCTGTTTCACAAATTGCCAGACATTAACAATGTTACTGCAGTTACATTTTCAAAGAAATGTGTTTTATTGCAAAAGAATATGTGATTTCAGATGAGATCGCAACCAAACTATAGATAACAATTATTTCTATTATCTTTTCAGGGAGCTTGTATTCTGAATATGCTAAGGGAGTATCTTAGTGCTGATGCATTTAAAAGTGGTATTGTACAGTATCTCCAGAAGCATAGCTATAAAAATACAAAAAACGAGGACCTGTGGGATAGTATGGCAAGTGTGAGTATGTTTTTGAATATCTCTGCATTTGGGATTGACAGGCTTATCATCTTGTTTTGTTTCCCCAGAATCATCTTAATCCCTCTGAGGAGAATAATTGTTTTCTATAGAAATAAGAGTGATGTGTTTAGTTTTGGTTTTTAGATTTGCCCTACAGACGGTGTAAAAGGGATGGATGGCTTTTGCTCTAGAAGTCAACATACATCTTCATTCTCAGTAAGTTTCTGTATCTGTACATGTTCCCCCAAGCACATTCTTTTACTGCATATTCTTTGAAAGATAGCTCTGTGCCAAACTTTCTGAGGTCCTTGATTATATCACCCTCATTCCAGATAAGACTGCATTTAAACTATACAAGACTCATAATCTTTTTCAATTTTTCTTAAAATGTGTCTATACACGAGGGTTGCAGAGCTTTCCTTGGTAATGCTTCTCACTGATACTAATTTCTTCAGCTTCACTTTGTAAAGCAGTGAATTTATGACATTTCTATAGCAGATTATGGCTGCATTGTAGCAGTCAAAAGGATATGTCAGTCATTTCCAGAGCTCTGCATTTGTACAAAGACAATGGCACTGAGCATTCTTGAACACTTGCCATGAATCAGGCACTTGTTAAGCACTTATATGTATTATCTCCTTTACTCTTCGTAATAAACCTGTGAGTCGGGTACTATTACTATCCCTATTTTTAAAGTTGAGAACATGAAATACAAAGACATTTGATTGGTAAATTGCAGAGCAGATATCTGAATTTAGATCTAACTCATGTTTTTAACTGCTAAGCTATAAAATATTCATAACATCTAGTCACAAAACAGCCTGAGTCTCTGTTCATCTGGATTTGTGGGATGTTTTCAGAGGAAGCTGAGGGTGAGTCTGGAGATTCAACAGAATTTTATCTTTCTTTTTTCTTTTTATATTTTTTACTTTCTTGGCCTTTTTTGTTCCTAGAGATTGCTTTATTCAGTAGTTTCTAGATTTGTCCGGTGGCACATGTTATCTTTTTAGTGATACTCTTTTTTTTTTTTTTTTGAGACAGAGTCTCAGTCTGTCGCCCAGGCTGGAGTGCAGTGGTGTGATCTCAGCTCACTGTAGCCTCTGCCTCCCCGGTTCCAGCGATTCTCTTGCCTCAGCTTCCCAGGTAGCTGGGATTATAGGCATGTGCCACTATGCCTAGTTAATTTTTGTATTCTTAGTAGAGACTGGGTTTCGCCTTGTTCGCCAGACTGGTCATGGTCTCCTGACCTCTGGTGACCCACCAACCTCAGACTCCCAAAGTGCTAGGATTACAGGCATGAGCCACCACACCCAGTCTTTACTACTTTTTAAATAATTTCTTAAAAGCTTTTTTAGTATCAAAAAACAGCTCCTTTTGAGTTCCCACTATTTGTTGAGTGTGGGTCATCTCCGTATGCTCACTTTCGAAACACAGGCTCTTGACTGAACATTGTTTCCACCTTGCTTGTCTGAAACCAGCATAGTTATGTAGGTATTGAAAACCTGGCACTTTCTCTCCCTTCTCCTCCTTCATTCATTCACATGCCTGCTTTGTGCCCAGTGTTATTGCCAGCCCCAAAGTGTGCCCGGCAGAACTAGGTATGCTCCCTGTCCTTTAGACACGTATGTGTAGTGGAGGAAAATGGCACGCAAACAGTTGGTGCTTTAATGGAGGTGTGATGGCTGGGAACATCACACTGAGAAAGGGATCAGAAAACACTCCAAAGAGGGGAGGTTGGCAACTGGTAGTGACTGAGCACAAGCTGGTGTTCTGTCTTTTCTTAGAGCTGGGTTAAGTGGGTGATGTGTCTGCTTTTTTGTGTACACACCAGCATTGGCATCAGGAAGGGCTGGATGTGAAAACCATGATGAACACTTGGACACTGCAGAAGGGTTTTCCCCTGATAACCATCACAGTGAGGGGAAGGAATGTACACATGAAGCAAGAGCACTACATGAAGGGCTCTGAAGGCGCCCCGGACACTGGGTAATGCTCATAGAGTAAAATTTGTTTTGTTGTCTAGATAACATCTGCCTTGTAGGATGGAACCTTGTTTTTGAAATAATGCCCTTACCGCTATTGCTAAAATATTTCAACTGCATCTGTGTATCCTATGAAGTTGACTTATACTCCCTGCCCCCATCTTCCCAAAAGGATTAAGGAGGCTTTAAACCTTGGTTATTCTCAGTAAAGTTGATGATATAATTACTTTAACATTCTCATATTTTGTAATTTGATATGATGGTAATTTCTGGTTACTGACTTGAAATCAGCTCCAACCTAAGCAACTGCTACTAGATTACAGTAGCGCCTAGCATTTGGTTGGAGCTGAGGACAAAAAAATTTAGGTGATTTCTGAGAATTATGAGAGACTCAGTTGTCTTCTTCTGAGTTAGATTTGTTCATCAGCTTAATGCTATAGAAGAATATTATTAGAAACAAGATGCTGCAACTTGATTGACCCTGGATGGATACCATTAAAAAATTCTTTTATCTTGAAACAATTTCAGACGTATAGAGAAGTTACAAGAATAGCACAACAAATTCCTATATATCCTTTACCTAGATACATGTTAACTCTTTATTCCTTTACTTTCTTCTATATGTGTATATATATACACACACACACACACATATATATGTTTGTGTGGATATATGTGTGTGTGTGTGTGTGTGTGTGTATACACCTCCCTCCCCCATCTTCCCAAAAGGATTAAGGAGGCTTTAAATCTTGATTAATCGATATCCATCTATCTACATAGACACCTATATACATATCTCTGTATGTATATACTTGGCATGTGTTTTTCTGAACTGTTTGACAGTAAGTTGGTGACATGATTCCCCTTCAAACCTAAGTGCTTCAGCATAGTATTTTCTAAAAAACAAGAACACTTATGGCCAGTCACGGTAGCTCATGCTTGTAATCCCAGCACTTTGGGAAGCCGAGGCAGGAGGATCATGTGAGGTCAGGAGCTCGAGACCAGCCTGGCCAACATGGTGAAATGCCATCTCTACTAAAAATACAAAAATTAGTCAGGCATGGTGGTGGGTACCTGTAGGCCCAACTACTCAGGAGGATGAGGCAGGAGAATTGCTTGAACCCAGGAGGTGGAGGTTGCAGTGAGCCGAGATCCTACCACTGCACTCCAGCCTGGCAACAGAGCGAAACTCCATCTCCAAACAAACAAACAAACAGACAAACAAACAAAAACAAGAACATTCACTTATATAACCATAGCCACAGTACAATTATCCAAATTGGGAAATAAACTTGATACAATACTGTTATCTATAAATCCCATTCAACTTTTTTCAGTTGTCCTAAAAATATCTTTAGAGCAAAACAGAAAATAAATTCTGACTTAAGATTTAATACAGGATCACGTATTTTATTTAGTTGTTGCATCCTTTTGGTCTCCATGTTTTTCTGAAACAACTTTTTAGTCTTTTTTGGGCTTCTTGATATTGACATTTTTGAAGAGGACAGGTCAGTTATTTTATAGAATGTCGTTCAGTTTGGATTTTCTGCTGTTTCTCCATGATCAGATTCAGTTTATGTATCATTGACAGGAATCCCAAGGAGGTGATGTTGTGTGCTTGCTAATATACGATTCAGGAGGCACATGACTCCTGAAGTTAGGCCTCTGAGATGCAATCAGCCAATCACTGTAAAAAGGCTTTCAGGGTTCACTTGAGTCCAAATTCTTAGCTCTACTCAAGGAGTCCAAGAAAAAGAAATAGTGCCTGAGCTGACACTCCCTGCAAAGTTGGAAAACAGACTGGGGATGTTTTGAGAGCTTGGCTGTAGCTGTTTGGGTACTATCTTGTTCTAACTAACCAGTGCCTGGCACATGATAGGTGATTTAATAACTGCTTGTTGAATTGAATCAACAAATGAACAGTCCATCTCTCCTTTCTTTTAGGTACCTGTGGCATGTTCCATTGACGTTCATCACCAGCAAATCAGACATGGTCCATCGATTTTTGCTAAAAACAAAAACAGGTAATTTATTTTGGAAACAACCAGTTTAATTCAAAGAGGAATGTGAAAATGAGTAGGGTTAAAATGCTGTTTCTTTTGCTGTTTATCTCGGTTAAAGCAAAAGGGATCAGACTGAAAATACTTTCTGGTTTCAAAGAAGAATGGCCAGTATCTTGCCAGATAGAGATTATAGTTGAATTATATAATGCTAAAAAGGAGGGATTACCAGTGAACATTCCCTATTACTTTGTTAACATTACTGTTTTATATCATATGTATGGCCAGATACGTAGTTGCATTCTTTTCATAGATCTATAAATCTCACAAAATTGATGTCTAAAGCTAGTGTTAGCTTTTGTCTATTGAGTTGCTGTTTTCTGGTTTCTGAAAGAAATAAGTGATGATTTCAGATTGTTCAGTATTAAACTCTTCTCTAATTTCCTTGCCCAGTCTCTGATCAGAAAAACTTTCATCAGGCAAGGGAGCAAATGGAGCTTTGATTTATTTTATTTACTCTAGATGTGCTCATCCTCCCAGAAGAGGTGGAATGGATCAAATTTAATGTGGGCATGAATGGCTATTACATTGTGCATTACGAGGATGATGGATGGGACTCTTTGGCCTTTTAAAAAGAACACACACAGCAGTCAGCAGTAACGATCGGGCGAGTCTCATTAACAATGCATTTCAGCTTGTCAGGTAATACACGCTGCACAAAGTCTCGGTTTATTTCTGAAAGCAGCTGTTATTGTTCAAATTCTTGATTTCTAAAGACAAAAATGATTGATTGACAACAAGAAGTTGAAAGGTGTTTTCCTCCAAGTTCTTCTAACAACCCAAGATTGCTTTTAGCCTTATAATTAACCTCCTGTCTGTGACTACTAAGGCACTAGAAGGAAGGAATCTGTGTCTTAATCTTTCTCATTAACAGTTTAGATCATACTGAGGCAGAAGTGTAGATAACCAGGAGATCAACATCCTGGCGAAACTCCTTGCCTTGTCCCTGCGGTGGCGTGGTCCCTCAGCTTCCTCTGGCCCTGCTATACCGGATCATGTTTCTCCCATCACTGGGTCTTTAACAGCCTTGAAGGCTTTTTAGAAGACTAAGTGACACAGGCCCAAGTTGTTTGCATTACATTTCTTGGATTAAAGAAGGGATTTTTGTTTTCTTTCCTAAACCAGATACCTGAACTTTGCAGTATCTTTATGGAATATAGCTCATAAAATGTAGCCCAACCAAATGATCTCTGAGTGTGAGGACAGAATTAACACTACCCCCCGGCCTTTTTTTTAACCCCCATGACAACAGTTTTTAAGGAAATGCTCTCAAAGCCTAAAACTCAAAACTTCTTCAACATGTAGGCAGATCTCAAGTCCTAAGAGGAAGCATGCAGGTGGGAAGGATTCTCTCTGTTTCTCCTCATACCTATATCCTTCTGGCCTAAATTTTGAGTGCCTTCTGGTTCTTCTCACCACCGTACTGGGCCTCCTGAAGTGAGAAAAAGCAATGGGGGAGAAAGTCAAGGGTTGCTTACCTAGCTGTTTCTTTCTGCCTAAAAAATTCCCCTCTGTAGAATATTTCTGCTTGAGCTGTAGAGGGCTTTTTCTTTTTTCTTTTTTAAACTTACATAATATATACCCTACCACTGAGGTTTTTAACACTAACCCTCTGTAATGAAGGATTTCTAAGGATATGCAGTGTCTTTTGAAATGGAGAAGAAAATGTGTTTCCTCCAGGGACTCGTAGATTTGACCAGATGATAGTCTGACCAGGCTTCCTAAAGGGTCTTTGATGGAAATCCCTTGCTTACTCTAGAAGTTCAGCACACAATCCCGTGTTTCACAGGGACAGATGCTGATGTGATTCCATTCCGGCTTATTCACATGTTAGCCTTGGATGTTACTATGTTTGAGAAACTTCCTCCCTAGTGTAAACATGCCAGATGGTGTGTTACATGTGATAGAAAAGAGACTTATATAGTAGTTATCTATCTATTTATTTATTTTTTTGGAAATGGAGTCTCACTCTGTCGCCCAGGCTGGAGTGCAGTGGTACCATCTCAGCTCACCGCCTCTGCCTCCCAGGTTCAAGCAATTCTTCTGCCTCAGCTTCCCAAGTACCAAGTACCTGAGATTACAGGCACGTGCCACCATGCCTGACTGTTTTATGTATTTCTAGTAGAGACACGGTTTCACCATGTTGGCCAGGCTGGTCTTGAACTCCCAACCTCAGGTGATTCACCCGCCTTGGCCTCCTAAAGTGCTGGGATTATAGGCATGAGCCACCGTGCCTGGCCGTAGTTATCTATTTATAAGTAGTTATCCATTTATATCTGATTGCTTGTTTTGCTAGAAGACTAAAATATATTTTGAAGCAAAATGTTGACTTCCTGGATTTACTTTTAAACCACTAACCACAGTGTCTCTTGTTCAGCATTGGGAAGCTGTCCATTGAAAAGGCCTTGGATTTATCCCTGTACTTGAAACATGAAACTGAAATTATGCCCGTATTTCAAGGTTTGAATGAGCTGATTCCTATGTATAAGTTAATGGAGAAAAGAGATATGAATGAAGTGGAAACTCAATTCAAGGTAAAAGCCTGAAATAAAATAGTTATGTAATTACTATTTCTTTTGTGTTAAAAAGAAATCGTGTGTGTGTATGTTTGTGTGTATCTTTATATACATATTAAGGAAAAGCAAATAAATATTAATTCAGTATTTAGATGGATTAGCAAAAATTTTGGTTTTATTTGGCACTAAAAATAGAAATGGCATTCTCAGACTCTGCTTAATTTGCATGGATTTGTTTTTTCCTTCCTTTCACAAACCTTTTATTTCATTTTCCTTTCCTACTATGATGGCTGACATTCAGATTTTCTGGGACTCTTCATGGTACTTGAGGAAGAGGCACAAAATTGTTATTCTTGGCAAAATGTCATGAAGTCTTGTTGCATAATTTGCTCTCAAAATTTAGTCATATAAACTCTGAGTTTGTTTTAAAAGTGGCAATTCATCCTGACTTTAAGTAGATAGGATATCTTATAAAAGTTTGTTATGAAAATATGAAAGTCATTCATCATTATTTGTTGGTTTTGACCCTTTTATAATTAAATATAAACAGTGCTGCATGATTTATACAGTAAAAGTTAGATTATGCTTTAAAAATTAGCCCCCATCATCTGAGACCATAATGGATTATATTAACATGAAATGACCTGTGACAATACTAGTCCCTGTTCCTCTGTGCAATGCCCTCAGGCCTTCCTCATTAGGCTGCTAAGGGACCTCATTGATAAGCAGACGTGGACAGATGAAGGCTCGGTCTCAGAGCGAATGCTGCGGAGTCAGCTACTCCTCCTTGCCTGTGTGCGCAAGTATCAGCCGTGCGTACAGAGGGCAGAAGGCTATTTCAGGAAGTGGAAGGAATCCAATGGAAACTTGAGGTCAGTCCTTACTGAATAACCACTTTGTTGATGTGAAGGGTATCTTTTCTGTTTTCCATCATCGGTACTAAACATTAGGGAAAACAAAAAGTATAAGTGTCTCCCCTGCTGCCCTGTTTTGAAAAATAAATTACTTTTTAAGATTTATCTATGCATCTCTCAACTTTAAGAAATGCTAGGAGGGAACTTCTGTGCATAAAAGTCAAATATCTGGGGAGTTAGGATGGAATTGGAATAATTCCCATTTTTGTATAGGCAATGCAAAATTGTTTTAAACTGTGACAGCCATGCCATAGAGAAACACAGGCATTGTATTTTATAGAAGCTTCTTTGGGCTTCTAAAGTCCCTGATAGGGATGCATAGTAATTGCTGATGCTGTCTAAGCAAGGTAGGATTTTACCATATCTGGAAATCCCTATTCAGCTACATTTCAGTCCTTTTACATTTGGAGCTTAAACCCCACCCAGGAAACATTTATGCCAACAATCTACATGCTTCAGCTTAGAGAAATCCAAACAGTGGTCCTACTGCAGTCCTGACTTGTGATCATGGTGTACATTTTGAATATAGTTTGAATTTCTTTCTTTTGGCTTGAAAGGTGATCCCCTATGGAGTCACCCAGCATCATTAAAGTATTTAAATATGTAGGTATTTATAAAAATGGCATTTCACATTACATTTTTGAGAAGGCTACTTAAAACCTAATTTTAGATAGTTTTCTCTTGCCTTTTTTTTTTACAAAGTGTAACTGAAGGAAATCGGTAGCTTTTGTTTATATTTTCAGTTATGCTTCTCTGATCATGGGGACAGTTTAGCAGTTCATAATTGGTCACCATTATGCCTATAAACATACTTACTGCATCTCAGATTCTCATCGTGTGTTCCTTTCTATAGCCTGCCTATCGATGTGACCTTGGCAGTGTTTGCTGTGGGCGCCCAGAGCACAGAAGGCTGGGATTTTCTTTATAGTAAATATCAGTCTTCTTTGTCCAGTATTGAGAAAGAACAAATTGAATTTGCCCTCTGCACAACCCAAAATAAGGAAAAGCTTCAATGGTGAGTCAGTCATTCATTCATGTTCATGTGGCCAAGGGAAATTAGATTAAATTAGATCATTCTGGCATCTATTTTTGTTTTCTTGGCCAGGAATTGTCTATTCTGCTGGGAACATACTGCAAGTCAGCATACATCTAATGAGAAAGGCAAATAATTAGGGAGAACCAGGTGTCAGGAAAAATATTTAAAGGCATATACATTTGTGTATCTTTAAAAAGACAACATATTTAAAATATTTACTAGAGCTACTCTTCCTTAACTATTCTTTTGAGCAAATGAGAGGGTATATGAGAATACTATATAAATGTTAGTTTTTATTATATAGCTATAGTGGATTTATCAGGATTCTGGTTACCCATTTATCTTTTTAACCTTTGTTATTGGCAGACTTTTTTTTTCTTTTACAAGTAATTTTATTGCAGTGATTCATAACTGTTTCACCACCTATTCATTGCTAACATTTCTTTTCTTAATCCTTTCAGGCTACTAGATGAAAGCTTTAAGGGAGATAAAATAAAAACTCAGGAATTTCCAGGAATTCTTGTACTCATCGGCAGGAACCCAGTAGGATACCCACTGGCCTGGAAATTTCTGAGGAAAAACTGGAACAAACTTGTACAGAAGTAAGTGGTGCCAAAAATTGTGCTGTGACTGGATAAGTTCATAACCTTACTGTGTTTCAGCCTTGTTGTTTGTGGAAGAACAGTAACAGTCTAAAGGTACTTTTTTATTGAAGATAGGCAGTAGAAGTACTTAAAATATTTGTAGAAAATATAAAACTGGAATTCAGTGCTAATTTGTGAATATGTACAGGGGTGTTTTCCATTCCATCTGGCATAACCCCTTCCTGAGCCCATGGACTGATGAAGCCTTCCTCCTCAGAGTTCAGCCCAGGCCTTCCACGAGCACAGATTGCTTGTTTGCATCTGTCATTGTCTAACTCTTATAGCACTTCCTGCCTCTGTCATGTTCTGTTGGATACTTAACTTTTTATTAAGCTGTTGGTGTGTATTATTCTTTAGAGCTAGATCTTAACACATTGGATAGACATCATATTTTGTACTTTCACACCCATCAGTTTTTAGTTAAAAGGTATTATATATAGGAGGCCCTTAAAATATAAGTTAAATGAATATTTCACAACCCGTTTTTGAATATTTTCCTCTCTAGGTTTGAACTTGGCTCACATTCCATAGCCCACATGGTAATGGGTACAACAAATCAATTCTCCACAAGAACATGGCTTGAAGAGGTAATATATATCTTTTTAATCATAAATGAAAATTAGCTAATTAATATGGGGTAGACAAAATACTTTGAGGGTGTGGTGAGTTAGAAATGAATTTTGTCATTTAGAAGTTATTTTTGGACGGTATGGTACTGACAGCAGCATAAATCAGTGGCAATTAAACTAGTGAAAACTGTGCCTCTTCTCAGACATGTTAAGAGGTCTTAGCTCTGCCATTTAAAACCTTAGGACTTGAAGAGAAATTACTTGAGACAATTAGTCCCTGTTTAAGGATGTTAAAAGTGGGCATTGAGGTATAAATGACTGAAGTGGTCATTCAGCTACTGTTAAAGAGGCAGATCTGAAATCTAGGTTCTTTATAAACCATCCAAGTTCATGGTTCCCTGTCACTTATTATATAACCATCTACCTTCAGACAGAATTTCAGGCAGCTTTAAGATCCGTGTATAAAAGAAATGTTAAAATGAAGGACAAAAAGATACATAATGGACAGGTGATAACCATGTGAGGGAATTATGGCTGAGGATAATTCTCACAATTGTCCCCTGAATTTATCACAGAGATTCCTAGAAGTCAAGGAAAAATGAGGAATCAGTACGAGTTATTCTCATTGTCTGGTAAAAGAGAACATGAAGCATACACGTTTTCTACAAAAGCAGACTTTTCTTCAGTCCTAAACTCAAGGACTTTGATATGTGGGCCATTGAGTTCTGTGGTGTCCCTTCTATAATAAGGTTTCATATAGTAAAGTTGTGGAACAAATTTTACATGGCTCTTAAACTATAGTACATTTAGATAAAAGCTGAGAGGCTAATATTAACTTTTTTAGGAGTGGTTCCATTGTGTAGTCTGGTTATACTATTTTCTAGCTTGAGATGGGGAGAGAGCTTTGGAAATGGAAAAGAATGAAGGGTTGTTACAGTCTCGTAGCTTTTTCCAGTTTTCAGTAGCCTCATCCAGGCTTGTCAAATTAACTTGCATATAATAATTCAACCTTGAACTCCAGCGAGGTCTAGAGCAGAGATATTCTGTGTGATGACTGAAGAGCTGTCCAAAGACTTGACCAGAAAGGTAGTCATCCATAGACAAGATCTATAGCAACAAAGCATTTCATTCATTCATTTGTATTCATTCAAGACATATATGCCACACATGGTTTTAGGTTATGTGGCTATAACAGTGAACAGACAGACAAAACCTTTGCTGTCATGGAGCTGAAATTTCTGCTGTGGGAATCAGACAAATACAGACAAATCAACTGATGTCAAGTAGTTACATGCTCTGAAGATGAATAAGGCAAGGAGAGGGATTGGGGTAGAGGGTTGGTGCCGTTTTATAGAATGATTAGGAGACATTGGAGAAGATATTGAAGGAAATGCTGATATCTAGAGGAGTATTGTGTGCAGAGGAAACATCAGGTGCAAAGACCCTGAAGCAGGGCATGAAAATTAAAGAGCCCGAGATGTTATCATAATGGAGAGCAAACTATGGACATATAAAATATAGGAGTCATCCTGAGTCCTTCCTTCCCCACACATCTAATTACGCAAGTCCTGCTGGTCCTCTCTCAGCACACGCACTGGATCTTGCACACGTCTCTCTGCTCTTACCCCCATCCAGTCCTTTCTCATCTCTTGCCTTGCCTATTGCAATAGTGTCCTAACTGGCCTCCCCCTTGCCACTTTGCCAATAGCAAAACATTTTCCACATTTAAGACTGCAAGTCAGCACATAACTGACCCTGGCTTCTTGAACCCTGCCTATTGTTCTTGCAGTAAATTCCAAATCCCTCCTTCCCATGTGTCCACGACCTTGATGACCTGGCTTCTGAGGACCTCTCTGGTGCCAATTCCCACAGGCTCTCCTGGTTTACTCTCTCACAACACTGCAGCCACTCAGTCTCCTTCTGTTCCTGGGCTACTGCTTGGTTCTCCTGTCTTTAAGCCTCTGCACTTTTTCTTCTCTCTGCCTGGCTTTTCACTAGAAAGTATTCACCAACTTTTCACAAGAAAGGGGCATTTTATCTTTGAGAGGTCTTGGCTCAAATCACCTTCCCCAAAACCATGCAGTTCAATGCAGGCCACATCTCCCCAGTTACTAGCATACCCCTGGCATATTTTCTTCATAGCAGTTTATTTACAGTAATCATATTTACTGCATGTATCCCCCAAAAGACTGTAAGCTCCATGAGGGGAGGATGCTTGCCTGATTCACTGCTGCATCCTCAGTGTCTAGCACGGTAATTACAGCAGACAGATGAATAAATATCAGAGTAAATATTGGTGAACAAATGGATGAGGTTAAGTCCCTGATACATGCTGGGTTTGGGGTTTTGCACTTTACCTGCATTATATAACTAAATCCTTCACCACTGCTCTTCATTTTACAGATGAGGAGACTGGGTTCCATGAAAGTTAAATCATTTGCTCAAATCAAGTTAGTAGGATAAACCTGTTTTCCTATCCCTGTATTGTGCCACTTATTGCACAGAAATTGTTCTTAAAGAGCCAAGTCTGAATCAAATATTCAGTTGAGATGTTGCATTTCCAAGACAGGTGAAGACAGAAGAGATGATTTTTGGGTCAGGACAAGGGTAAGAGTAATGGTTAGCAGCTGGCTTCGCTGTTGTAGAAGGTCTGTTTTTAGTGGAGCTATCATAATGAGCTCCTTCAAGATTAATGATTTGAGCAATTAGTAAGATTATTGATGTGCTTTGACTGTTGAATAGTGCTCAAAGTGATTTTTAATTGACTGTGAATTAATCTTGTGTTCTGAGCGTGTATGAAGCAGTAGATTGAGCTACAACTTAAGGTAGACAGTGGAGAAGTATTTTCCAGGTTGCTACAGCAGGAGGCCATGCCTTCTGCTCACTGAAAAGTTGTACTGTATTGACATATAAAAACAACTCTGCATCATTTAAAATTGAAATCTTATCTTTCTAAAACCCATTCCTACTCCCCTCTTTATTCCCAAACCAATAATATGGTATTATGACATGGATTTCTAAGGAATTGACTATCTGGAATCTATGCTGAATAAATAATACATCTTGGCCTACATTTGCTTCCTGGATACCAAATCAAAAATTGATGGATTATTGCTGTGAAAATTTATACCCTTTAAGGTGAAACAGAATCGCACAATGGCCAATCCTGTGGCAAAGCCAGCCTATCTGTCATGTGAGCTCAAGGGGTTAAGATACCCAGAAATGAAACAAGAACAAAGATATTTTTCAGGAGATAGACAAGAGTTTCTTATCTCTTTAAAATCATGGGGAACTTTGAGACAACAATACATGAATTGTAGATTAGGTTAAAAAAATTTGGCAAGGTTTGGGTTTTACCACCATAACTTGCTAAGAATCCCATTCCCCACAGTGTTTCTATAATAACATACAAGGCCAGGCCCATGGAGGAAGACGGCACTTACATGGTGGAAACTGTTTTGCTTGGCAAAGAAGAGATGGCACATTCTGCTTTTTAGATATCATGTTTTTAAAAAATGAAGTTTGCATCTGTGAGTATAGAACAGAATAACACATTAAATAGATACAATTAAACCTTAATTATAAAATGGTAAACAGTGAAATCTTTTAAAGTCTGGCAGCTGGGAATAAACAAAAGAACTGCAGAGAAAAAACACAGAACTTGACATCATGAGGCATGAGCTCATTTCATACAGCTTATGTGTACATAATCCTATTCAGACAGCTGGGACTGCCTTCTATATAGAATTTTGACAAATGCTGGAATTTTGGCTTCAGTTTTAACTAAAGTTACATCTGGTTAATGTAATAAAATTAATTTTTTAAAACTCACTTTTTCCTCACAAGGTAAAAGGATTCTTCAGCTCTTTGAAAGAAAATGGTTCTCAGCTCCGTTGTGTCCAACAGACAATTGAAACCATTGAAGAAAACATCCGTTGGATGGATAAGAATTTTGATAAAATCAGAGTGTGGCTGCAAAGTGAAAAGTTTGAACTTCTGTAAAAATTCCTCCCTTGCCAGGTTCCTGTTATCTCTAATCACCAACATTTTGTTGAGTGTATTTTCAAACTAGAGATGGCTGTTTTGGCTCCAGCTGAAGATACTTTTTTCCCCTTCAACTCATTTTTTGACTGTCCCGGTGAAAAGACTGGCTGTTAGTTTTTCATGAGTGGGCTATCGCTACCACGTGTTTCATTCATCACAGGTGTGGCCCTGCAATGTAAACCCAAGTGTTGGGTTCCCTGCCACAGAGGAATGAAGTGCCTTATTCTTCTCATTTTATATTTTACGCTTAAGCCCCCCAGTGTCCAAAACCCTGTGCCCCACATTTGTCATTCATAAACTGTTTCATCAATTTCCTCGAAAGATTCTGAATAGTCGACTACTGAACAATGAATACCTGGATCCGAGACTAAGCCAGATGATGGCTGAGTTAAAGCTCTGGCTCTCCCCGCTGACCCCTCCAGACTCGCTGCCCACCCCTCTCTTCCTTGCTCCATGCCCAGGGGCTGACTTGTAAAGGCCAAGTCCTCAAGCTTCCTTGCCCTTTGGATGTTGGTCAGTGGGGAGCCAGAGAGCTGGAGCTGGGGTCGGAGGAGGTAATAGGTGTTCTTCCCTGATTCCCTTACTGGATGCCTCGGGCTGGCATCCCCTGAGGGTCTTAGCTCCTGAGAGGGGACCCTCTTTTCCACACAGCCTTCTCCACCTCTGGATTTTGGTAACTGCTCCCTCCTCATCCCTTCAGGATTAGGGGCCTCAGTGGGAGCCTGGCTTTTACTAGTCCTGGCGAGACTTGTGGTTTCCACATAATGTGCTTGTACTTTTGCAAAAAGTCTTTTTATAGAACCCCCCTCAGATAATTCTGAGTGTCATCTATTTCCCTGACTGATACAGTATCTCTTCTGAAAAAGCAGAGTGCATTCAAGTCTGTAGGAAAACCCTTTTCTTAGGGAGGTGATTCGTTTCTCTCTCTGCTTCTTATTTGGCCTAGTTTACAATTTCTAAATAACTAGTTATTGGCATTTACTGACAGTAAATTATTGCAGGGTCACCAATAAATGATAGTACATTGTGAAACAAAATATTTGCTCATATTAGCAAATAGGACATTCTTTGGCTTTGAAGTCTTTTGTGAAGACTTCACACACAGTTGCTTCAGCACACAGTTGCTGCTCAGGTTTTATGTATAGGTAATAGAAAGCACAGTTTACTAACATGGTAAACCAACAGAGTTCAAGTCAGATAATACCCTAAGAATTAGATTTTATTTCTTATTCTGAAAACTTGCTACACAGGGACTTATCTAACCCACAGTGTGC